CGTGGAGGGATGCAAGCAAAGCCGATGAGTCAGACGCTTTCTATGACCTCCTGTCACAGGTGCTGGCTAAAGTGGCCACTCGGGACAGAGTCATCTTGTTGGGTGACTTCAATGCCCGAGTTGGTCATGATGCTGGCACCTGGTCTGGAGTGATTGGAAGGCATGGGCCAGATCAGCTCAATAATAACGGTAGGAGGCTGCTAGATTTTTGTGCAGCCCATGGGCTTGTAATTACCAACACGCTCTTCCGGCATCGGCGCATCCACACAACATCATGGATACATGCCGGGTCCAAGCAAGAACATCTGCTGGACTACATAGTGACGGACCAGCGGATGCGAGCCCATGTCCTTGACACCAGGACCTACCGTGGAGCTGATCTGTCCTCTGACCATCGACTAGTCATCTGTAAGATGCGCCTGCCTTTCTTCCACTCCGGTGGTGGGTGTACACCCAGGATCCCATTCCAACCAAAAGTGGCCTGGTCTCAGTTAGCTGATAAAAGTTGCAAGCGAGAATTTCATCATCACTTGCAGCTGGGGTTGGCATCGTCCCCCACTCCACCTGATGTCGAGGGGAAATGGGCGAGGTTTAAGACTGTGACTCATGCAGCTGCAATGGCTGCTTTGGGTACGCGTCCAGACCTCCCCAGAAACCCTGGCTGACAGAGGAGGTGTTCAGGTTAATTGAGAAAAAGCGACAGGCCCACTCTCATCGCCTACAGCATCCCACGTCAGAGAATGAGGAGGTTTACCGCAGCCTTCGCTCGGAAGTTCGGAGAGCCGTAAGGCGCTGTAAGGATGGGTGGTGGTCGCGGGTTGCTGAGGAGATGGAGTCTGCCTCAGTGGCCCGTGATCACAAATCACTATTTAACTCCATCAAAAAAGTAACCTGCAGCGCCACACCTATTACCATCATTAGAGGAAAAAACGGTGATCCAATCTCCGACCCCCAGGAACAGGTTTGCAGATTTGCTGAGCATTTCTGTGAGGTCCTGGGGGAGGGAAATTCTCTCAGCCAGGAAAACATCATGGCAAAAAGTGGTGATAACCCTGCTGAGGCTGCGGTGCCTCAAATATTGGAAGAGGTCACCCCCTGTGAGTGGCTGGCTGAGGTGCCAGCTGTTGAGGAAGTACTGAGGGCGATCCAGAGTCTGAGACCAGGGAAGGCACCGGGCAGAGATGATCTCCCAAGCGAAATGCTGAGGGAGGGTGGCGTTTGTGCACAGACTGCCCTATATGACATCATAACAACAGTCTGGACCACTGGACGGGTTCCGCAGGACTGGAAGGATGCCCTGGTGGTCCCCCTCTTTAAGAAGGGGGACCGTACCGACTGTAACAACTACAGGGGCATCTCACTCCTCAGTGTGCCGGGTAAGGTCCTGGCAAGGATTATTCAACATCGCCTTGC